CCTGACTGGGGATTGAGCCAGCAACCTGGGCATGTGCCCTTGACCAGAATTGAACCCAGAACCCTTCAGTCTGCAGGCCGACACTCTATCCACTGAGCCAAACTGCTAGGCTGAAGGAGAATCTTTCAATCCATGTATTTCTGTAGGAACCCAAAGTCTTAGGCAACCCTGAGACATGCATGCACAAAAGAGACCCAACACTGCACAGTGAAGGCTTTGGAGCTGAACTACAGTATAGACTCCCACCAGGTCCCACTCTGGCACCCAGTGGGACACAATATCTGTAAAGACTTTAAAAACCGGAACCACTGCCCATAGAAGACAGAATTCGTAATCTGAATCTAACCAGGCTGACTGCCTATTAAAACTGCAACGACAAAATCGACCATTTCCAGAGGATTTTCATAGGACCCAGAGGCTCATAATATTCAAAATGTTTAAGATAAAATCTAAAATTACTAGGCATACAAAGAACCAACAAAATCTAAGTAGCGCTTTTTGTTGTTAATCCTCACCCATGGATATTTTTTCCCACTGATTTTTACAGAGAGTAGAAGAGAGGGAGGGAGGGAAGGAGAGAGAGAGAGAGAAAGATCTATGTGAGAGAAACACATCAACTGGTTGCCTCCCGCACGTGCTGTGACCAACCCACGACCCTTCGGTTTGTGGGCCGATGCTCTAACCCCTGAACACACTGGTCAGGGCACCACATTTTTAATAAATAGGTCTAAAGAGAAACTGCAATCACCATATGTGGAAGCAAGTGGAAAGATTAAAGAATGTAGAGATCTTCTGTAAATCTATAATTATACAAATTTATTTTCCTACATCAGCAGTTTCACAAACTAAAAACCCTGAGATGCCTGACCTGTTTGGCTCAGTGGAGAGTGTTGGCCTGAGGACTGAAGGGTCCCGGGTTCGATTCCAGTCAAGGGCATGTACCTTGGTTGTGGGCACATCCCCAGTAGGGGGTGTGCAGGAGGCAGCTAATCGATGTTTCTAACTCTCTATCCCTCTCCCTTCCTCTCTGTAAAAATCAATAAAATATATATTTTAAAAACAAAACAAACAAAAAAAGAAAAATAAATAAAAACCCTGAGATGACTAATGGTGGATAAGAAAGCCTCTGGGAGCCCAGCCGGCATGGTTCAGTGGTTGAGTGTTGACCTATGAACCAGAAGGTCATGGTTTTATTCCGGGTTAGGGCACCTGCCAGGGTTGCGGGCTTGATCCTCAGTGTGGGGCGTGCAGGAGGCAGCCAATCAATGATTCTCTCTCATCGTTGATGTTTCTATCTCTCTCTCTCTCCCTCTCCCTTCCTCTCTCTGAAATTAATAAAAATATATTTGGGGCGGGGGGGTGGGGGGGGGAAGCCTCTGGGCAAAAGTAGGAAGCCCTATAAACCACCAGAACCTCCAACTGGGCACTGGTACACTCACTCCATAGAGCTGACAGCACACATTGGCTGAAGTCCAGCCTGGCTCCAGCACTTGTCCATTTACCAACTCTGCAAAAGTAGTGAAATTGTGCTTAGTAACTTCTTGGTGCCCGTTCCTTAATCTGTGAAATGGAGATAACATAAGTACTTGAAAGTACTTAAAAGACCCGTTATAAGGATTAAGGGAGTTAAAACATATAAAGCACTTAGAGTGGTTCTTGGGAAGACCTCAGTGCAGAAAAGAGGTCAATTGGGTTGCTTGTGTGCTCTTGGGCCTGCTCTTTCCTTCTCAGCCTCCTCTAAGCTCTTATTATGCAACTAGAGGCCCGATGCACGAAATTCGTGCAAGAGTAGGCCTTCGCAGCTGTGGCAGCTCCCTCGATCCCGCAGCTGCAGCCCCGGCTTCATCCAGAAGGTCGTCCAGAAGGACATCTGGACGGCCATTTGGTCTATTTGCATATTACGCTTTTATTATTATAGATGGCACTGTATTAAATGCTTTACAAGCTTCATTCCATTTTAACCCTCACAACTGTGAAATAGGTACTATTATTTGCACTGTTCAGATGAAAAAATTGGATTGACTCACTTTATATATGCACATAGTCACAAATATACACATATACATCACCAATTAGGTCACCAGCATGTCTTGTCTTTAATTGTGACTCATCCTGTCTTCCTGTGTAGTATTTTATATGTCTAATCCATCCATTATATGTTGATTTTTATAGATTAAATCTCAACGGAAAACCCAATTTCCCTTATTTTAAAACTTCTTGAATGGCAACCCACTGTTAACCCCCATATACCACCTACCTGACCATTGATTACCTTTCCCCTTTAAGCATGTTATTTTATAGGCTTTTGGCCCCTCTGGATCCAGCTCCTTTGGCCTCATGACAGACAAACCATGGTTCATGTGCAGAAATCTGGCCCAGCTGGGTATTTACTGCATCTGGGACCAGGCATTCTTAGGGGCAGGTGGGGACAGTTTTCAGTAGCCATTTTGTGTTGTAATGACAGAAGCATAGTATTAATAGATCAGACTCTTCCTGGCATTAGGAAATAGGCCTAAGTCCTTTGGAATGTTTTCTTTAAAATAAGTTGATCAATTTTCTGTACTTAATGCCAATGGCTGTGTCAGCAATGCTGATTGGAAGCTAATTACATGATTTCATAGCTATTCTGGGAAAACATGAACATACGGGAAATAGAATGAGGGAGACTATGAGAGTGTGGACCAAAAAATGGAGATAAGCCAAACTGTTAATGATTGCCATGCTGCTCAGCAGAAATTCTTTTTCATGGTCTCTGTTGATATAGTCAGAATCTAGGGAAGACAGATTTCCAAGTATGGATACTTAAGAAATGATTACAAGAAGTCATTTCTTCCTATAATTAAAAAGAAAATCTAAGATCTATTTTAAAATAAATAATCATTATTCAACAAACATTTTATTGACCAAATTTTTGCCTTGGTTCCCTATGAAGAAAGTATAGTAGAACTCATATAAGAATAAATTAGTTGTAAGGACCCTCAGGAAGTCCTTCAAAATTCTAAGTGGGACAAAGAGGTAGAAGCCAGGGAGAGATGAGAGCAGAACTACTACTGAGGCCCAAGGAACACCAATTCTTTTGTGTGGCCCCTTCCCATGCCAACATTTATATACAGATGAAATCAGTTAAAGCTGTATTATATACATTCTACAAAACAAATTGTTGAATCCATTAACAATCAATTTACGCGAGAAACTGGCTTTAACAATAAAGGAATCTATGTCATCAAAGACTTTCCATTTCTCCAGTCTGCCTTGCATAATATAGGTTTTATCCTCAGGATTTACATACTGTACTTTCTGGGAAGCTTCCAGTCATAACATATCACTGAATACTATGGCATAACAGCCAAGCTAATTATTTTGGCCATCTACAGACAATACAGAGTATGGCACTGAAGAGATTGGGTGGTAATCTACATCACAGTGATTCAAACAGTTGTACATGTTGATTCAGATGTTTCCATGGAGAAAGGCTGAATAAAAGGAAATTATCTAGGTTTTTCCTATCCATATGGAATCAGGAATTCAACAAAACTCATGGGATATTACCCAAGTTAAGTAAATAAACACATCAATTTCCTACGTTCTCACCTAACTTTGTGAGAGAAACCTAAGCCTCAAACCTGAATAGCAACTTGCAGCGATCCTTGCTCAGAATAACACTTTTAATATCAAGGGGAACAATAAAATTTAGGATCTCTGGGCTAGACGAAACAGAGTGGGAGCATCAGACCTTGCTCCCTTTTTCCAAAAGCTAAAAAAAAAAAAAAAAAGATATTTCAGGCAAATTGATATCTAAACTCTTTTCCTAAAATAAATAAATTCATTAATCACATTACATTAAAATAAAAATTAAAAAGAAACAAAACTGCCGAAACCGGTCTGGCTCAGTGGATAGAGCATCGGCCTGCGGATTGAAAGGTCCCGGGTTCGATTCCGGTCAAGGGCATGTGCCTGGGTTGCGGGCACATCCCCAGTAGGGGGTGTGCAGGAGGCAGCTGGTCGATGTTTCTCTCTCATCGATGTTTCTAACTCTCTATCTCTCTCCCTTCCTCTCTGTAAAAAATCAATAAAATGTTTAAAAAAAAAAAAGAAACAAAACTTTCAAAACACACTGTTAGGAAATCCTAAAAAATCAATAAAATGTTAAAAAAAAAAAAAAAGAAACAAAACTTTCAAAACACACCTGTTAGGAAATCTTTTCTTTTATCTAATTTCCTGTGTGGTCATAATATCCCTCTGTTTCCCACAGATACATTCACCCCAAAATGGAAGCAGGAAAGAGATTGTGAAAGTGCAGGGACACTGGTATGCCATTAAATATTGACACATTAGATTAATCTGTGTTACATAGACGAGAAATTTGTAGAAAATGTGAGCACATGCTTGTCAGTGGTTGGCAGAAAAATGACTAGGGAAGAGGGACTAGCTACTCATTCAGCTGCCAGCAGAGTAGTTTATCATGGTAGATTCCTCACAGCTGTCAGTCTTGAAAACTCATAAACCTAATTTGGCAAAACACTATGTAGCATCCCACTAATCCAGCTCACAAAGATTGATATATACAGTCAAATTCAAGTATATTAATTTGCAAAAGAAAATGTTTACTGCCACTCATTGTTATGGCCCACACATTCTTTACCCATAAGAACACTGCATCAGAAGTTAACTTATAATCAAAAGGTTTTTTGGGGATTATAACCTTAGAATGATTGATGTCAGTTATACGCTCTCTCTAGGCCAAGGTCTCCTATCCCTAGGCACAGTGAATCTTTGTGGTCTTTCTTCTTCGAAGTTTCAGGGCCAGCCAAGCCTCCACACCATCTGACCTGATCTTTCATCAGCTACTAAATGTATTCAGTCAGGTTATAGTTCAATGTTACCTGCTGGGCAACCATTCTTTCTCTTTAGAGACAATTTTACTATTTTGTCCTATAATCCTTTAAAAATGTTAAACCTCAACAGGCAATCTAAAGTACTGAGAAAAAAAGGGAGCTTACCTTCACCCCCAAAGATTTACAACATGGTGATCTTGAATTTCAAACATTCATCCTTCTTTAGCCTTCCCTCACCTGTCTCCAAAGTATCCTGTGGGCAAAAGACTGTTAAGCAGAAGAGCATTTTGTAAGGCAAGGGAGAACATTGGAAAGTGTTAGTATTTGGATATGGGATAACAGTTTATTTAGCCATAGTCAGTTCCCAAGACAATATGTCAGAAGCTCAAAAACATACATAAGATGAAAGTAAGGATAAGAAAATCAAGAAGAGTCAGAAACTAGAAATGTGAAAGAAGTCACAATTCATGAACAGTGAAACCTAGAACATGGAGTCTGTCGGGAAACGGGTGTAGGCAAGAACCAAGAGTCAGAGTAGGACTGGGGCTGACCCACTGGACATTCCGGAAGGCACTTTTCACGTCACTGTATAAATGAATGATGCCTGCTGGGGTCTGACGTGCACATGCACGGGGCTGACCCACTGGACATTCCGGAAGGCACTTTTCATGTCACTGACGTGCACATGCATGGTATTTACAGAGGCCCTGGACAGGCGAGGAACCTCAGAGGCCCAGATTGTCAAGAATAAAGGGACTGAAAGGGAAGGGCAAAACTGGCAGGATAGGAGATGTGAGGCCACTGCATTAAAAGGACTCCAATAACCCAAATACTCTCTGTCTTAGGGAGCTTTTCTATAGTTCTGCCAAGATAGGGAACACATGACTGGCTCATGACAGCAAATTGAAGCAAGTTACATACCTTGCTGATGTGTGGAGAGGTGGGTATGGAAGGTGGCAAATCCCAACAGGAAGGTTGTTTACAGTTAAGATTTCATTCCAAGTTTCACACTTGACCTCCAGTGATGTCTCCAAAATCATATTCAGATTCAGCCTGATACACCACTGGAAAAAAACCTTCAGTGGCCAAGAAATAGTTGAGAAATGAGTAAAATGTATATATCTAGTGAGAATTTATAGTTCTCACTAATTTATAATTAGTCATACATAAAAGGCTAATCTAGTTTATTTAAAGATAGTTATTTCATAACATTAATATTTTATGGAATATGCTTTAAGAACAGGCAATTACTGTCATGTGAAATAGCTACTTAATTCTCCTTCAGGACTGAGAATTTTTCTAAACATTTGGGTTTAGAAATACTGTACTCCTAACCAAACAAGATGAAAGTATAAGAGATCAGGGTAAGTGTATCAGTTGGGAAATGGCTTGGGCTACTGGAACTGAGGCTCAACTATAATAACTAGGATTCAATCTCTTTTTCCTGTCTTCTCTCTCTCTCTCTCTCTCTCTCTCTCTCTCTCTCACACACACACACACACACACACACACACACAAACAATTCTAGAGGTATACAGTTTCAGGAATGATATGTGGTCCTACAATGTATTGAGGAACTTACACTCTTATCTCTTTATTCTGCCATCCTTTTCTCATGAAATCCATACTCAGAGTTACATAAGAGGTGCCCGGAAGAAAAGGCAAGATGAGGCTTAAAAGCTTCTCTGCTGAGCTTTTTTTTTTTTTTAATTGAGTTAAAACTAACATACAGTGAAATGTACAAATCTTACATGTACAATTCAATGGGTGTATTGTATAACTAACCCCAATTAAGAGATAAAATATTTCTATAATGGTAGCAAATTACTTTGTCTCCTTGCACTCATTTTCAATCCTCATAGGCAGCCAACTGTCCTGATTGATTGCCATAGTTTAGTTTTACGTGTTCTTAAAATTCATATAAATGGACTCATTCAGAATGTTCTTGTCTCTGTGTGGGTTCTTTTATGTCAATGACTTTGAGATTTATCCATGTGGCAGCATATATTACTTATTCTTTCTTCTATTTTTTTAATTTTTGCTAAGCAGTATTCCAACGTATGAACATACCACAGTGTTCACGCACTCTCCTGTGCTATTTCCAGCTTTCAGCTTTTGTGAATAAAGCTGCATAACTATTCTTGTACAAATCTCTTTGTGAAGACGTGTATAAACTTCTGTCCACTGAGAGGCCTGGGAACAGCAACATTCCAATAGTAATAAGCACACCTAGTGCCCAATTCTTGATTTTTAAATACTGCTCTTCACTGAAAGGGAACCAGAGCTTCTTGGGGAAATGAGCAATTCAAGGGGTGGAGTCAGAGAAAGTACAAGATGAGCCTGGAATACGAAGTTTGTTTGTGTGTTTACTTACTTTATAAACAAAAATTTTTAAATTTATTTTGTAATCCATGAAGATCCATAAGTCAAGAAACAAAGGAAGGAAGGAAGGAAGGAAGGAAGGAAGGAAGGGAGAGAGGGAGGGAGGAAGGAAGGGAGAGAGTGAGGGAGGGAGGGAGGGAGGGAGGGAGGAAGGAATTGATAAAAATAGGGTATTTACATAGTCCCAAAGAATTTCCCCTATAAAAGTTATTAGCTATAGTGAGAGAAAAAGAAACTTTATAATTGAAAAACTGGTAGGAACCACCTTCATCAAGTGACTAAAGTGCACATTACCAGCAATTAGTATGGTAGGTAGAAAAATGCCCCCCCCCATAAGATGTACATCCTAATTCCCAAGCCTATGAATATGTTAGGAAAAAGGACTTCACAGATATAGTTAGATTAAGGATCTTGAGATGGGGAAGAGTATCCTGGATTATCCAGGTGATCCAATGTAATTACAGGATCCTTAAAAGTGGAAAAGGGCCCAGCCTGTGTGGCTCAGTGGTTGAGCATCGACCTATGAACCAGGTCACGTCTGTATTCCCAGTCAGGGCACATGCCCGGGTTTCAGATTCGATCCCCAGTAGGGGGCGTGCAGGAGGCAGCCAATCAATGATTCTCATCATTGATGTTTCTATCTTTCCCTCTCCCTTCCTCTCTGAAATCAGTAGAAATATATATATTTTTAAAAGTGGAAAAGGGAGGCAGGAGAAGGATTCAGAGAAGGAGATGTGACAAAAGCAGAGTTCAAACTGATGTGATTACTGGTTTTGAAGATGAAAGGGGGCTATGTGTTGAGGAAGGTAGGCAGCTTCTAGAAGCTAAAAAAAGAGAAGCTAACAGATTCTCCCCTATAGCCTGCAGAAGGAATGCAGCCCTGCCTTCATTTTAACCTAGTGAACCCATTTCAGGCTTCTGATCTTCAGAATTTTAAGATAAATTTGTGTGGTTGTAATGCACTCAATTTGTAGTAATACAATGAGATTAATCAAAATCTGTGCCACCTGATAGGATACAATGTGAGGAACTTGGCATTATTTCTGTGGTATTTCTGACAAAGGCACAGAACCTACATTGAGTCGCAAGGACACATTAGACAAACACAAATGATGGGACATTTTATAAAATAATCTGTAATCTTCATTAATGTCAAGGTCATGAAAGTCAAGTGAAGACCAAGGAACTCTTTCATATTGAAGAAGACTAAAGAGAGATGAATATTAAATGCAACGTTTGATTCTGGACTGGACTCTTTTTCTATAAAGAACATATTGAGACAACTGGCAAGATTTAAATGAGATCTGAAGATTAGATAGTATAATATATTGATTATGATGATGTAGAAAATGTCATTGTAGGAAATACGCATAAAAGTATTCATAAGTAATGGAGCACCATGTCAATAACTTATTCTCAAATGGTTTATAGCAAAAGTTAATTATACCATACTTGCAATTTTTCTCTAAATTTAAAGTTGATTCTATTTTGGATAAAAAGAAAACAAAACTATCCTTGGCCTGGTAGCTCAGTTGGTTGAACATTGTCCTGTATGGCAAAAGGGTTGTGTGTTAAATTCCCATCATACCCACATTATGGGTTTGATCCCCGGCCCTAGTTTGGACATGTGCAGGAGGCAACAGATTGATGTTTCTCTCACACATTGATACTTCTCTCTCTCTCTCTCTCTCTCTCTCTCTCTCTCTCTCTCTCTCTCCAATAAAAACATATCCTCAGGTGAGGATTTTTTAAAAAATAGGAAGAGAAACCTACATACATAGTATATTTAAGTCTCCAGAATCCTATGAATAAAAAAAAAAACTTTTAGTGTGAATTAATCTGCCCAAGGACAGGTAACTAGTAAGTAACAGAAGGTGACATTAAATAACAGATGCGTCTACGGCCATACCACCCTGAACGCGCCCGATCTCGTCTGTAAATAACAGATGCAAACTTCTGGCCCAGATTTACAAAGATTTTTCCCTGCAGGAGACAATTCTGTTACGTTATTTTGGGTCATTTTAAATTGTCTAGTTCATCTCAAGTGTTTCAGATGTTTCTGTCTTCAAAGTTGAATTTAAATCTAGTTTCTGGCCCTAACCAGTTTAGCTCAGTGGATAGAGCATCAGCCTGCAGACTCAAAGGTCCCAGGTTCGATTCCAGTCAAGGGCATGTACCTTGGTTGTAGGCACATCCCCAGTAGGGAGTGTGCAGGAAGCAGCTGATCGATATTTCTCTCTCATGGATGTTTCTAACTCTCTATCCCTCTCCCTTCCTGTCTGTAAAAAATCAATAAAAAATATATATTAAAAAAATCTAGTTTCTGATTCTATTCTCATTGTGTTATTCAAAGCAGGCTCATGGAGATCTTTGATCTCTTTGGGTTTAAGTTGTCTAAATCTAGTTCTCCAGTGATGGTCAGGTGCGGGAAGTCACTGCTTGCCAGTACTGTCAGTGTACCAAGGAATGCGGAAGGCCGATGGACCTTGGGTGGTAGCAGGGCTGACACTAAGCACTCATCTGTTGAGATAGTAGTGGCTCAAGGCAATTCCCTAACCTGATAATCCTGTTACTGTTTACCAAACTTTACTTTTGATATGCCTGCATGCATTGCTAAAGGGCAAATGTGTATTCAAGTAAATAAATAGCGGACCAGGCCAGAAGTCGGTGTGTCTCTTCAAGAAAGAGGCTCCACCTGGCCCCCAATGTCTTCTAAGTTCATATTTCTTGTATAGTATTTTCATTTGTGCGCTGGCCCCTCCTTCAGATCCTGAACCCCGCTGTGAAGGTCGTGGCAGATGGGAGAGGCTGGAAGTGGGGAGGTGAGAGTTGATAAATAAAGGGGGGTACTCTTTCTCCTCAATTTAAATGTCTCCGCTTTTCAGAACATTTTCCTACCTTTCATTTCTCCTCAAATGAAAATCCAAAGTGAGGAATGGATACCAGAATGTTTGGGGAATGTAAAGAGTATTGTGAGAGAAAGAGAGAGCCATTATATTTCTTTTTTCTCAACCTAAGACTGTATAATGACATAGCCTATATATCATTATATAATTTTTTCACATATTGTAAAAATTCATTTGCATTATGACTTTTCCATGTGAATATTTAAAGTGCCAGTGTTTCCAGTATTTCCTGACTACATTCTGCAAGATTGTGGTTCTAATTTAAAATCCTTTCATTTTTGTCAACAGCTCATCTAAGTACTGATAGCTCAAATAAGCAGTATATGCTCTTCATTCATTCTTGCTCCAAATAATTACTGGAGCAAGCAATTATTAGTAACTTGTCATTTGTCAGAAGGTATTTTTATTCATTTATTTAACTACCAAATCTTTAGTCAGGGGCTCATACTGAGATATTGTATCATAAGTACACTTTTGATTCACAAGGCTCAATCTCCACTTTCCTCCCGCCTCTTCCACAGTCCTCTATCTCTGCTGAACACTTTACTAGCTCTTTCCATTGCATCTCTGTTCAATTGTAAAAATTCCTCACACCCTCAAATTTTTCTAAAAAAAAGTCTTTTGGGTATAATAACAGTCAACATCTGGCTTTCCTCTGATGTTATCTGCAGCCATGAAATCCACTCTAATGAGATAATTCTTCTTATTTTCTCCAATTCATATTTTAAAAAAAAGGTTAAGCCCTTCCTTACTTCCCACTGCCTTTTAGTTGTCCTCCTGCAGCTTCCCCTTTGGCCTTCTAGGCCTTATGCCACCTATTGCTTATACTTGTCTAGCCTGGCTTTCTAGGCTATATCGGCCTATGATTGATGGAGGTATATCAAAGGGGTCCAAGAGCCAACTGAAATAGCTTCCAGTCACCAAAGCTGGGACAATTTGAGCAACAAAATAAAAAGTAGTAGTGGATTATAACCCAAAGTATATGATAAATGCCCATGAGTCCCTATTAACACAAATAAATCACTGAATAAATTAATAAACAGGGAAGAAGAAATAGATCTACCATGCATAGTAATTCCAAATAATTTATGTAGATACTCCATCTTCCACTCTTTTTTTTTTCTATCTTCCTTTTAAATAGGAATTGAGCATAGTGACTTCCTCCCAAAGAGTGTGTTGCGGGTATTGGCAGGAGGGTAACATTAGAGTGGAGAAACCTGACAAAAACTAAGTCAGCCACAAGATCAAGATTCACATTAATTGTGGAAAGTCATGTGGATAGTATGTGCCTTTGATATGATATGATAAAACTGACACTTCACCTCTGTGGTCTTCCTTCCAAAAATCCATAACTTAAGTCTAATCATAAGAAAAACATCAAATTACAATAGAGTGTGTCCTACAAAATATCTGATGGGTACTCCACAAAACAGTCCCAGTCATCAAAAACAAGGAAATGAG